TTAGACGCATTTATCATTCATGCCAATTTATCTTTCGGCTTTTCGACGGATGAATCTGAGGAAGTGTGAAAATTTTAGAAAAAAAGGAGCACAGCAAAAATACAAAATGTACATAAGTATAAAGTTGAGCTTGTTGATTACACGATATGTTAAACGGTATTGAGAATAGTGATAGCGATCAGTTAAAGTCAGGAGCATTATTCAGTTGGTCAGCGAGACTGATTTTGTGCCTGAAGAGGAGGGGATCGGAGATGGATGATGACAACTATAACACAATTGATCCGAGGGATTTGTTTGGAGATGACGACGATGATCAGCTGATGTATGGGTACGTATATCTTTATCACAAACATTCCTTATACTCTCACTGATAAATGAAAGCGCAGTTATGGTCTGCCATGAATAGATCTGTTATGATCTTACCGATGTTCATCACTCAATAGCAACGCATGAAGCACTCAATACGCTCAACTAAGCAATAAACTTGGAAATTGAAATGTGCAGCACTCCGAACTGTATGGAAGACTTATGAATAATATCAGATTAATGGATTTATGTAGTATAACTGATCAACTACTGATTGATTGATTGATTTTGTTAGTCAGTCAGAACGTGAGTTGATCTTATGTTAAAACGGAAATCAATCGCCATTTAACAAGTTCAAATTATACGAGGATTTCTGTGTTTTTTGTATGGCTCTAAAAGACTGCAAGCAAACAGGAAAGGACTGAGAGGAATAAGTCTGAATATTTCATATAAATGGTTAAACTTCATAGCATTCAAGGAGTTGTTGAAAACGATGTAAGATGTTCAATATAGTTCCCAAAGAAATTCTCACTTTAAAAATTTTGAAAAAAGTTTAGCGTAAATTTTTTTGATGGTTATAATGGCTTTATGTAATATGCAGTGGATTTATGTGGTATGCATTACGCTTCATTCATTACAACACTTTAACGGAAGACGGAAGGCAAAGAAAAAGTCTTTCAACAGAAAACCTTCCCTGTATACAGTTCTTAAGTGCAAGTCAATTATGATCATGTTCACATCCATTTGGATAATGTGAGCCTATACACTGAGTTATATTTCAAAATCATTCCACTACGGTTTAAAGTCCCATAAAAAGAGTCATAATTTTAGCGATGATCAGATGCAATCGGATGAACCTGTAGGTGTTATAAGTGAACTGAATGCACTGGATCAGAGACGTCCAAAACGACCGATCAACGTTGATGATTGTGATGCCTTAGGTTGATTTCATTATCACCATTTCATTTTGTTTCTATCCATTCGAGTCAGTCGAATAATTTCTCTGTTAAAGAACCTTCAAACTTTTCTCATCTATGTTGTATTCCTGGAATCATTTTCTCCCATTCATGGAATATCAGCAATATCCTCATCATCACTTCATCAAAATGCAGTTCGTAGATAATGCACATACAGTATGTTTGTGGAAGAATAAGGTTTTGGCACTGTTAAATTATTCAAACGATCAAAACTGAAAAAGCAATAAATCATTTTCGCTCATTCATGGGAAATGCCTGCCACACCCAACAGATTGCTCACTTAATAGATTGCAATAATGTACCCGGTTTTTAATGATAACATTCAAGCAATGTGCAAAAATCATTGCAGTAGTGAAAAGTTTTGCTTCCAGCCGAAGTGTTTCTAATTTTTCAAAAGTTCAGATTGGCACATGCGTGTTCCGTGCTCGTTCGAAGAGCTCTACGAGTGTCATCGAAAAGAGCAAGAGAATGAGGAGATTCTCAACCGAATCACCTCACGCATTCTTCAGGTATTATACAACTCACGATATTCACAGCTTGAAATTGCAGGATGTAGACGCGGAAAAGGAACTTCATTTGATTTCATCAAATCTCTATGACAAACAATCAGCTCATTGTCAATAAAACTATAACAGTGTTCCGTCTCTAACGGGGAACCTAAGATGATATACTTCCAAAGAGGGTCTGAGGTTATCTACTGTAAAAAAAAATTTGCTGAAAAATTGATGGAAGTGTGAAGGTTTCCTTAAATTTATTCCTCAAGCAGCGTTTTTAAATCGTTCTGCATATATGACTTTCTGAGTGTCAGTGTTTGACCGAATATGTAAAATAGTTGATGAAATAAAATGTGTGGGAATGCAAGAATGCATCGCAGAGACGAGTTTCATGCTTGAAGGCTCGTAAACGAAGGCGTATGAATGCAAACCTAGAAGCGAATCAAGAAGATGATGAAAATGAAAAAGAGAATCACCAAAACAGAGTTGATGTAATGCTGTACCCACCAACTGATGGCTCACCATGGATTGGCGTTAGTGCACCGGATTACGGGCAACGGTATGAGGCAATTATCCGAATTTACGAATGTTGAATATCTTCATGAAATGCATCTGCTGACTATACACTCATGATTGTGATATCAGAAAATCTGTTTCGATTCATATTTTATAAGTTTCGATAATCAAAGTGAAATTTTACGATGGCTTAGAATTGAACAACGTATTTTGGATGTGATTCACATTGAGGATTCTTTAGTTATCTCATTCCGATATGGCAGAATGATCTAATTGTTGAGTAGATAGCTCAGCACCGGTATGCGCTTCAAACTAAGTCCAAATTCAATCCATCACTCTGATTATCACCACATTTCTGCTACAGTTCATTCAAAAAGGCAATATCCAGTTGCTATAGTGTTGCCGAATGAATATTTATTATGATATTCCACCATTGAGCATAATAGATGCAAAATGTACGAAATTATGACTGATGTGGATATGTGGATGGTTGTTTGTGACTGAGGCTGATTGTAGGCGGAAATTGTAGAGTGCAATAATGAAAGTAGAATGCTTTCATTCTGAAGTGACCGAATGACGTTCGCTGATGTTTTGATCATGTTTTTAGATATTACCTACGATTGCGGAATGTCTCGTCATCGTCCTTACTACGACACAGAACAAGCGATCGTCATTCGTCAACTGCATCCACTTCGAAGCATTCGAATCCCACTCAGTTGAATTCACGTCCCATTGATGCAATTCTTGAATCGGCTCGATTAGAACTTCAGTCTCGGCTAGAGGCAAAACAAGCTTGTGATCGAATGGAATTTGAACCGTACCCTATGGAAACCATCCTGTCATCACCAAATTGTGCAGATTCAGAGCTTTGGGTTGATAAATACGCACCCAAAACATATGTGGATTTGATCAGCGATGAAGTTGGTTGTTGGCATTTTACTCAAATTCATCGAGAGTAGTACTGTTCATCTGAAGACAACACCAAGATTATGATTAGAGTTTACATTTGTATAGTTGTGAAAGAAATTGATAAATAAAATAAACGACCGTAAACGCATATCTCTCCAGCCGTTTCACACAAAACGTTGGAACGCAGTACTTGACCGCATTGCATTTGTTCATCTGATACATTCGATTTTGTGCAATATTTTAAAAGCGTGATTTTCAGCGTATCAATAGATTGTTACTGAAGTGGT